TCACGGCCATGTAAATTCTCAGCCATTCTATACACTTACCCTGGGCTTCCCCTCTGCTAGAATGGTAGAGATGTAGAGGATGGGAAAAGAATCAGTCTAGGCAATGTGGACCAAGTGATCCTCTAATCCAGGTGTTTGGGGATGGGGACTCACCCTATGTTGTAAGGGTGTCATTTTAGGAAGTAGAGAAAACCCTCAGTATGTGTCAGGCCCATATTCTGGAAGGATGTGGGGAAGGCAGGCCGGGAAGAATCAGGATAGGGTGTCTTATGAGCTGGACTTGTCTAGCCCGCAGGTGGTCTATGTCTGGCAAGTGTGGAATCAAGGCCAGGAAATAGGTAATCATAGAAGAGGTTGGGCAAGAATGGAAAAGTCTCATCCAGAGGGGTCACCTCTAGGAATCCCAACTACTAGGCTACAGGAACAGGGCAAGAAGAGATCAAAGTCCATTCACTCACTCAATCATTCATTCAGTCATTCATCCAACAAATTAACCCCTGTCTAGGTCACAGGCAATGTGTTAAACATTAGAGGGGAGGACTATAAACAAGAACAAAAAATGGCCCCCATTCTGAAGAAACTCAGATCAGAAGAAGAGAGGACGTGTAAAAATAATTACAATATAATGTGGTAAATTAGAAGATAGAGGAGGCTTGACAGGGCTCGGAAGGCAGGCTGGGTCAGCATCAGACTAGGTGTTAGTTTAATAAATAATCCAGGATGCAGCTTCTTAGGGAGGTAGCAGAAGGTTTGGTGGCACAGTGAGGATCTAAGAGATGTTTTGGGGCAGAGGAAGGGGATGAGGTGGGGGAGGTCAAAAATTCAAGTTCAACGGGTGAAGATGAATCAGGGAGCAGACAGACATCTGGAATAGAATAGGAGTTCAGGCAGTGGTCAGATGGAACAACTGTCACCATGTGCTTACAGGTCCTCCTATAGCTACTTTCTGGATACTGCCTTCCTGACACCACCATTTGGAACCCACAAGCCACTCTAATCCCCATACTTCTCTGTATTTCTGCTTCTCTTTACCCTACCAGACATTTCTATTTGTGTCCTATGGAAGCCCTGTCTGTTGGTGAATAAATTCCCCTACTTCCTCAACTTCTTCACAGAACTGTCTGTAGTAGACACTTTTTGGAGTACCTTCACAGCTCACAAAGCCCTTCATAGCACCTCTCCTTACTCATAATAGTAGGCTTATGGCAGCCATCTTGTTCAATGTGTCCAAGATACTCTTGGATACTCCCCCAACCCTCTACTCCCTACTGACCACAGATAGCTAGAGTTGATTTCTGTTACATGCAATTAGAGACTTGCTAATCTCCCACCACCTTCTGGCCTGAACTGAAACCTAGCTTTCCCCTGAGGTTACCACTTCCCCTGCAGTCTTTTCAAGTAGAAGCTATTTATTCCCCTATACCCCCCATACAGAGAGGCACTAGCAACATTCTTCTAGCTCCCCAAGACCTTTCTAAGCAGTTTCTCCTCTATTCTAGTATGAAAAACCTCTGCCCCACTGAGGTCCATGCCATTCAACTAGTCACCTTGTCTTCTGTCTTCTACCAACTTGGCTACACCTTCACATTTATTAAATGCCTGGCTCATTTCTTTCATCCTGTGGGGAGGGGGATTTTGCTGACTCTGTGGACCACTCACTCAGTGGCCCAGCTTCTTAGTTCCTTGACCTTTCAAACTCAGCATCTTCATTTCCGGTCCACCTCAGTGTATTTCTGTGGCCACACCCTGTACTTTGTCACCACCGGAACAGTTCCACCCTGGAAAATGTAAACTCTATCACTATATCTACTTGTCCTGCTCTCTCCTCTGACATGATCTGATGGACTGAGGTCTCTACAGATTTTCAGCTGTGTTCTCAGCCTATTGGATAAACCCTTTTCTTTGTTTCCTAGCAGCTTTCCTTTTCATCCCCTGCAATCATTGCAAACCTTTACTACTCTTCCCAAGCTCCAGATAATCAGGTGAAACTCTCTGTTCATTTATTAATTTATTCATTAATATTAGTAAACAAATATTTAATACACACCTACTATGTGCTAAGTATTGTGGATATAATGGTACAGGTGTGCCAGTGAGGAGCTCACAGTCAAGAAGGAGGCGAGTCCAATAATCACACACATAAATATAATTACAAACCACGGTAAGACCTGGGGGTGGAACCGGGAGATAGAAAGGGGCATTTCAGGAGGAGAAACAGCCTGAGCAAAACTCTGAGGCAGAATGGAGTGTGGTTTGAGGAAATGAAACAAAAAGACCTACTGCATGGTTGGAGACAGAAAACTAGAAGAGAATGGAGCAAGGTGAGGCTGAATGAAGGGAGTGACAGGGTGAGATCTGCATTTTGAAAAGATCACTGGCAAAGGACGAATAGGTGGAGCCCAGCGGCTTTTTTAGGGCAGTGAAACTGTTCTGCATGATACTATAATGGTGGATACATGGTAATATGCATTTGTCAAAACCCGTAAAACTGTACAACACAAAGAGTGAACCCCAATATGAACTATGGGCGTTAGTTAATAATAATGTATTAACATTTGTTCATCAACTGTAGCAAATGTACCACACAAATGCAAGATAATAATAATAGGAGAACCTGGGAGTAAAGTAGAGAGGGGGTATAAGGGAAATCTGTACTATGTGCTCAATTTTTTGTAAACCTAAAACTGCTCTAAAAAATAAAGTCTACTAATTAATTAAAAAATATAGGAGGGAGAAGGAAGACCACTGGTTGCTGTGGCAGAGGAAATGTGGGCAGACTACTACAAATCTGTCTCAGAAGTCCAGACAACAGACGATGGTAGCTCAGACCAGAGTGGTTATGGAGAAAAAGGAGAGAAGTGGATAGAAGGTGGTATTGAAAAGACTTGGCGATGGGCTGGATATGGATTGGGGATCAAGGGCCACTAAGGTTTCTGGCTTGCCCAACTTAATGATTAAATGATGTCACTCAAAAGTCAGTACAGAGGATGGATCTAGGACAGTTTTATCAACACTGTCACTACATGCTAAGACACCATTGAACAAATAGATTCTCAGCATGCATGTAAATGTAATGCTCACATGAAAGACATTTCATTGTCTGCTTTTCAGCTTTGATCATGATCATTCCCTACCAGACTTTGTTTAAAAGGGAAGTCATCCCATGAGTCCTATTCTTGCTTCAACCATTAATTGAAGTAGACAAGGTAACTTGGCTTATCTAGGCCTTAGTATTTACACCAGAAACATGAGAAAGCGGAAGCAGATGGCCTCTAAAGGGTAGTACAAAGTGGGGATGCCAGTGGTCTCTGGCAGCCAGAGGTCTTCCAGACACTGAAGTACTCTTCATGCCTGTCCGTCCTCAATCCCTGGGCTTTCACAGTGAATACCAATACATCCAACTTGCTGGTCAGTGTTCTCCTGCTCCTGGCAGAGCTACAGTTCCTGGATTCCTGCTTCTGTGTTCCAGGACCATGACTAGGGTCTGCACGAACCACCATAACCTCAAGTAATTCTGGACCAACACCAAGTACTTCTCTTCTAAGTCAGGTTTGGGACACAATACCAGATGGCCCCAGAGGAAACTTAGTTCTCTGTGTGTTTTTATTTCAAAATCAAGCCTATCTTCAGACAACAGAACAAATGTGCCAACATCCTGTTCTAAAAACCAAAATATACAGACTCCCAGGAACCACCAGCTCTTTAGTCAATCTGCCTCCTAGAAAATGCTGTTACTGTTCAACATCCCTGGGGCCTTACCTCCTTTCCAGACACACCAGTAATACAACATAGCACCTATAGCCAACTAAGCCATGCCGACTTTGTTGCCAACCCACAAGCAACAGTGTAGGGGGCTGCCCCTCAATCTGACTTTCTCCTAATAAACTTCTATCTGTGGGTTCCAGCAGGAGAATTCAAGGTCATGTGCTACAGTCATGCCATGATGCCTTTGCATACCATGGCTTGTCTAAAATGCTTCATTGAGAACTGCCTAAGGTAAACACGATGACCCTGACTCTGACGTAAGTGCTATATTCAAACCTACAGCACTTAGGCCCAGACCATGGACTGTCCCGGAGAATCCAAAGGCCCCTTGCTCTTGCCACTTTCTCCCAGTCAGCCCTGGAAACAAACCTCGTGGAAACTATCGCTGATTTACCCCTATCTAAGGCTATGATACCTTCCTGCAAGGAACTTGGCAGTTTCCCAAAGCCTCACTCTGGCCATCATTTGAGTGATGAACACAGCCCTATAGTATGTTCAAAACCACCGCTGCTCTCTGCCCTGCTCCCTGCTCGGAGTCCCTGATTCAACAAGTGTCTTCTAACTTTCTATCTCATGAATGAGAAAGTTCCCTATGGATGAAATCCTTCCGGTTATATTACTGCTCTGGAGTGTAAAGTTTATCCTCCTATGATAAACATGTCAATTCTATATAATGTCTGCTACACTGTAATTTCTTCCTTCTAAGGGAAGCTTATTAATTTGAGTTAAACTGCAGGTTGCTGGCCAGCCAATGTATTAATTGTCCTTGGTCAAATGCCAACTCTTAGTCTCCAATCAGCTCTGACTGGATGTTGGGGGAAGAGAAGGGTCATTTAATAATAAACATGACAGCCTATTGCTGCTACTCCTGGAGGCAGCCGTTTCATGGAGCAGCCAGCAAGTGGTCCTAAGACCTGGTTTGAACAAATAAGCTGAGGCAATCAGAATACACTTGAAGCACTTTTGTGATTATCTGATTAATCTCTCTCTCTCTAGACAATAAACTGCATGGGGGGCACATAGTAGCTACTCAATAGGTACTTTTAAAATTAATGAATAAATTCATGAATAAAGCCAAAAGGCTTATGAGGTTAAGAGAAGTTGGGGAAGTCAGGAGGGGACTTGAATGAGTCAAAAGTTTGACTAAGTCAAGTTATGAGTAAGCCAAGTTTGAGTAAGCAGAACCTATGATGCAGAAAAGACACACAGAGCAGATGGTAAGAAAGCCAGGCAGTAGTGAGCAGGGAGTGTGGCAGACACACAGGGAGTAGCTGAGTCATTTAAGAGTAAAGATTCACAAAATCTGTGGCTTAGGTCTTAGAACTGCCTTGAATCCGTAGCCACCCTCCTATTCCTGTTCTTCCTGACGCTGATTGCTCATCCTTCCCTGGGTTTCCATGAATACGTATCTTTACAATAAACTATTTACTTCTAAAGGTAACTTGAGTGAATTGCCACTTCATGGGAGTCTCATCTTTGGGAAGCCTGAGGACAGTACATGAGCTCCAAGAAATCCAGTTATTATTTTTATTTTTCCCAGGAAACACAATTTTCCCTTTCTGTGAATAGAATGGTGGTCAGGCCATAAGGAGATGTCCTGACATGCTTGAATTCAGTGTGGAGACACAGCTCAGGCTCAATCTAGAACTCTTCCCATACGTATCTTGTTTTTTTACCCCACATTTTATTTAATTTAATTAATCAATTTATTTATTTATTTTTTGTGAGGAAGATCAGCCCTGAGCTAACATCTGCCAATCCTCCTCTTTTTGCTGAGGAAGACTGGCCCTGGGCTAACATCCATGCCCATCTTCCTCCACTTTATATGGGACGCTGCCACAGCATGGCTTGACAAGCAGTGTGTTGGTGCGCGCCTGGGATCTGAACCGGTGAACCCCGGGCCGCCACAGCGGAGCACGCACACTTAACCGCTTGCGCCACCGGGCCTGCCCCTACCCTACATTTTAAGAAAATCCTCTTATCACTCTTGAGAAAGGGCAATCAGATTTGCTTGGCCATATCTGCATTTTAAAACCAAAGATTAGAAAACAAATATTATTTTAGAATAATATTTATGACGAATTATGGAGATCATTTTCATCGTATCATCATCAATAATTACTGCTTGATTATTATGAATCATCAATTGGGTAATTGGACAGCCACACTATCAATTACCCCCATGGTCCTGAGCCTTTTTTGGTGCCTGTACACTATGCTTACAGTGTACTATGTTTATCATCCACAGTTGGGTGAATTCGTGGATGCAGAATCTGCAGATATGGAGGGCTGACTAAGGGACTTGAGCATCCTCAGATTTTGGTGTGAGGGGAGGGAGGATCCTGGAACCAATCCCCCACAGATACAGAGGGATGACTGTATATTGGTTTTCTATTGCCGCTTTAACAAACTACCACACTTTTAGTGGCTTAAACAACACAAATTTATTATCTTACAGATTTGTAGGTTAGAAGTTGAACACAGGCTTCACTTGTCTAAAATCAAGATATTAGGAGGGCTTCATTCCTTTCCAGAGGCTCTAGGGAAGAATCTATTTCCTAGCCTTTTCCAACTTCTACAGGATGCCTGCATTCCCTATCTCATGGTACACCTCTTCCACCTTCAAAGCTAGCAATAGCGAGTTGAGTCCTCTTTACATCACATCTGTCTTACCCTCCTTCATAGTCACATCTCCCTTTGACTGACCTCAGCTGAGAAAGGTTCACAGCTTTTAAGGACTCATGTAATTAGGTTGGGCCCACTTGGATAATCCAGAATAATCTCCCCATCTTAAGGTCTTTAATCTTAATCACATCTGCAAAATCCCTTTTGCCAAGTAAGGTAATATATTCACAGATTACAGAGATTAGGACATGGACATTTGGGGGCAGCAATTATTCTGTAGTTACACAGTGTAGTTACAAATCCTTTTATATTCTTATAAGAACATCTAGGATCAAGACAGCAGTCAAATATGTCTAAAAAGTCCAAGTAGGTTGTTAGATGTTAACCTTACAATAATAAATAAGGTATGACTTTGTCCATCAAAGATTATCAGAAAGGAAAGAGAATTACCATTTATTGAGTGCCATTAGGTTCAATGTGTCAGGTATAGTGAGATATATATTTATCTCAGTTCACCTTCACCACAACTCTTTCCAATAGATATTATCTCCATTTTACAGTTGGGAAAACTGAGACTTGGAGTGGTTAAATAATTTGTGCAAAGTCACATAGCTAAGTGGAAAAGCTGGAATTCAAACTAGACTTGTCAGGCACTAAAACTCGTGCACTTTCCACTGTCACATGGCCTCCCAAATTTTCTGCGGAACTTAGCTCATCTATATAAAAATTGATACACCACCAGACAAAAGATTCCTTCAGGGGCTTTAAGACTGACCTTCTTGGACTCTTTAAAGATGTACTTGTCATTGCACATCTAAAAGGCAAACATGTTCCCAGAACAGAATGCTTCCTCTATTTCCCCACTGTGGTGTTTAATAAGGCAGACTGCTAGACACACTACATAGTTATCTCAGAAAGAGACCATGGATAATCCTGCCATTTTATTAACTGGGAAGGCTGTGGATCTGAGGACTGCCCATGGGGATTTACTGATTGATCAGATTTATTTATTTATTGATTGATTGATTGATCAGATCCATGCTCCAATCAAGTCCTCTCTTTCCGTCAATGACACTCAAATAAACCTGCATCCAAGAAGCCAGCAAAGACAGCCCTGAAATACTTTTCTAGAGAACCTTGTCAAGTCTCACCCCTACTCCTAACCATCCAGTTATTATTACCAGCAAGATTATAGACCAGGCTCACTAAAGATGCATTCTCATCAGGGTGAGAAAACTATAATGGCTGTTGGGGCTAAGAGAGCATGTTGCTTCTGTATTGAGAGTCCATCTCTGTTGGGTCTCAGTACTGTATTCTCCCTCAGACTCTGCCTCTTCCACATTTCCTGTGGCCCTCTCTGAGGCCAACTGTTTGATCTACAGCTCTCCTCCCTGCAGACTGTTTGCATGTACTTTGGTCATCCTATCTTGTTCTGCCCTCTGATATTTATTTACTCACTCTCGATTTCTGTTGATCAATTGGCCTTTGTCTTACTGCTGCCCAAACCCTTGCATGTCTTCTTGCCGCCTTGTTCTGTCATGCTGTCAGCCTGCTGCCACATTCAACATGAATACTATTTCCTTCTAGAATTCTATTTAGGTAGACCAGACATACACTACTTTGGAGCCAGCTTCCATTAGGCCCTTCCACAGTCAAAAGCCATTTATTGAGATCAGCAATATCTAAGGACTATGACTTTTTCTTGATTCTATCAATTTCTTAATATTTGTGTTTTTTAATGCGTAAATGTGATTTTGGTGCTTGTATTCTTGAATTGCATTCTTCTGCACCTCAGAATGTGCTTCTTTGCAGAGCTTGTTGTTTTTGCTTCTCTTGGTAGACACTCATAGAGAGGGATTCATTTGTGTACTTCTCAGCAAATGCATTTTCTTTTTCAGATCAGCTGGACTCCTTAACACCACTCAGTAACTGGGAAGGTGCATAATGACCGTTTTTGTAATAAATCTTCCAACAATAACAATCAGCATTGATTAAATAGTTCATATAAGTCAGATGTTATCCTCACATAATATTACTTATTCTTCCCAACAACTCTCCAAGACTAGACCACTGTTTACAGATGAGGAAACTGAGACTTAGAAAGGTCAAGTAACTTGTTCAAAGTCTCCTAGCTAGTAGGTGATGGATAGACCCAAGAATTCAACTCCTTTTTATCAGTTTCCAAAATGCAGACTTCCACTACCCTTTATTGCTGCTGTTGGTTCAGATCTTATTAAAATGTTTGCAACATTTTAGGAAAGAGAATATCAAATAGCCAGGTAAATAGCCAGAGATACCATAGAAACAAAAGGAATTTTAATTACTCTCTCCTGATAGGATAAAATGGGACAAAGGTAGCCAAGTAGGGTAGCATCCTGGAGGGACTAGGACAGAGTGCCTGTTATCCTAGTGGTGCCAAGCTATAGAATCAATATGGGTGGGAAAATAAGGGGAGCCAATGAATAAGTAGAAGCAAAGGGGACAGAAAGGACTATAGCCTAGAGGAATTCCCACGGTGGAAGACAGAATCTAGTGGACCTTTTTATAAGGTTCCCAACTTGCATGGGTTTGCCAAGTACAATAACACAGTCTGAAGGAAAACAGACTGGAGCAGGGACAGCGTCTCAGAGAAGGTGTATGGTGGCTCCAGCAGCAAAGAAATGATCTTGAGTTCTGAGGCGATAGGCATGCTTGGTTCCAGCAGCTCTTATTCTTTCTATCCAGGATCCCCACCCTAGTGAGGTGATGGTGACTAAAGGAGAGGGGTATGGTTGACCTGTGAGCGGATGGGAAAGTCAGGGGTTCGGGGCAGGAAGTTGTTGGCTACGGTGTGAAATTTCTCACCCAAAACAATGGGAGATGCCCAATCATAGAAGCCAGCAGAGCTGAGAAATGTTCAAGGAACCAAAATTGTAGAAGCTAGAAGGAGAGTCTGAGGTAGGATGTGAGTGGATGATGTTACCAAAACAAAGAGCCCAGAAAGGAAGGATGGGTAGAGTCATGGAAAGAGTATAGAATTTTTGTCTAGAACAGCTCAGCCCTTTCATAGTTCTTTCCCAATCCATTGAGGCTGTAAATGCCCTAAAGAAAGCCTGTGGCTGCTCATTCTCATGCTCCATTTTCTACCAAAACCACTTGCTCTGTCCCGATGGTCTCCATTTGCATCCCATTGTCCTACACCTACCCTCTGCTGCTCTGCCTAGTCTCTTTGGCTAGGTAATTCACTAAGATAATCTCCTTGGTCCTCTATTCCAGCCTCAACCCTTGACAATGTCTGGATTTGCTGTGATCCCATGCTCTGCAGCCTGAAAGCTGTCTCATCCAGGAAACCTGGTTAACTCATCCCAGAACACCCCCTGAATCCTTCTCAGAGCTAGGCCCACAGTGATGTCCCTTCCATTCCTCCTGGGAACCAAGAGGTGGAGACCTGTATAATGTTGACTGTATGCCATACCACAGATCATGTCCTGCCCAATACCATTATGTCCACTTGGAGTTGGGGGGATGTCTCCATTATAGCAGAAGAATCTATAGGTTTTGTAGGTTAATAGGAATTGCTAGGTTTTTCAAAATGACAAGTAGGAATACAAGAAAACCCATTTACCCAGCCACTAACCTTGAGTGTCCTTTATAACTACATTTCCAGGAGAAAGCAAGAAAATTTTTCTTTCTGGCATTCACTTTATTCATATATACCATGTATAGAAAAATACATGAATCACAAGTGTACAGCTGGATGAATTTTTGCAACGTGAACACACTGGTTTAATCAGTACCCTGATTAAGAAACAAAAATTATCAGCATCCGATCCTCTCATGTCCCCACCTAGTTACCATTCCCCATAGTGTAACCACTCTTCTGCCTTCTAACAACATTGATTAGTTTTGCCTGTTTTAGAATTTTGTTTAAATGGATTAAATATATTATGATACAATTATAATAATATATTACATGTATTATGTATTCTTTTGTGTATGGCTCTTTTAGGTCAACATTGTGTTTGTGAGATTCATCCATGTTGTTGTGCATAGCAGTAGTCTGTTCTTTTTTGTTGTTATATAGTGTATTGTATGAATATACTGCTCTTTATCCATTCTACTGCTGTTGGAGATTTGGATTGTTTCTAGTTTTTAGCTATTATGAATAGTCCTGCTATGAACATTCTTACACATGTCTTTGGTGAACATATGTATGCATTTCTGTTGGGTATGTATCTAGGAGTAGAATTGTTCAGTAAAAGTATATATATGTTCAGTTTTAGTAGATACTGCCAAATGGTTTTCCAAAGTTGTTGTAACCAAGGACATTTTTCTAATCCTTCCTAAATCTCTTGGAGCCAGAAGGAAAGAGGTGCAGAGGCAGGTAGGTAGAAATTTGGCTGGCAGTGCCAGCAAGTACAGGTTAAAAGCAACTCTTCCCTCTCTTCTGCCATGGTTTTTGTCAAGTAGTTTTCTTTCCCAAGGCACAGGGCTTGGAAAATACATGCCACCCAGCTGCAGTTGGCTGGCAGGATTCTGCAATACTGGGCCTTAGTATGATGATGCTCAGCTAAGTCAGAGTTGAGCATACCAAGTCAGAGGAGTTAGTACAGCTGAAAACTGGGCAAGAGGTCAAAGTCCAAGCAGTCTGAAGGAGAAAGCAGAGTCCAGTGGAAAAAGAAGTGGACTCGAACTGTATTAAAATAAACAAAAAAACAAAACAAAACAAAAAAAACAAAACCCTGCCTGAGACTGCCTACCTCTGGAAGTTGTCACAGGGCACCCATGAGAACCTCCCACCCCTGGGCTACCTCCAGATGTCACCCAGGAGTCCCCTCCATATTCACATTCATACGCAACTCAGAGCTGGAGGTCCTGGGACACCAAGTTCAGTGTGATGGGGCACTTGAGTCGGGCCAGTACTGGCCAGGTCGGAGGAGCATGCATATTTTTAGCCTCAGAAATAAAGATCTGTTTGCCACGCCCCCCCCCCCCAAGGAAACAAGGAAAAAAAAAGACACAAAGAAAGAGGGAGATGCAGATATCAAATTGGTATATAGGACCAGGAATCCAGCATGGAGAGAAAGAAGCAGCAGGTGAAGAGTGAACGGGAACAGGGTGTGAATGGGAGCCAATGGGAACATGACTGGCCTTTATACACCAGCCTGGGATGGAATGAGAATGGTTAGCCAAGTTTAAAGAAAAACAAAGCAAAATAATCTCATCCTACTGAAAACCAAAGCTGAGTAAGCCTTGTCCGGAAACGTCTTTTGAGGATAATTGCAAACTTCTGGGAACTTGAATGGAGAATGTGGGGGTGGAACAAGTATGGAGTTTTCTGTCAGAGATGTAATGTTTGTGTAATACACATTTCTCCAGGCCACTCTAGTTTGAATGTACAATTGGATAATATAGACAGTAGCAGCCTCCACAAGGAGATCGTTGGAACCTCAGGTCCTTTCTGTATCTCTCAAGGATATGTGGGGGGAGGGGAGGTCTCACATGCATTTCTGAGTGGCTATTCACTGACTCATTTCACCAACCACAGCTGGCGTGCAGCCACTTCTCTGCTGAAGTAGAGAGAGATGCCTTCCTCCCACCTGTTCCATAATCAAGCCACAAAAAAGGGTGACTTTGGGCCCTGTTTTCTTGGGTGCCTCTAACGGTACAGCACTTTCATTTGACTTTGTTTTTCACTTGAACGAAAAACAACTGAGATGACAATGTGAGTGACTTCACAATGTGCCATACTCAAAAATCATCTCTCATTGTTGACTTTCCGCAACCCACCCCTGTAATTCCTAATACTTACTAACTGTGTGACCTCAAACAAGTTACTGAACCTCTCTAATATTTAATTTTCTCATGGGTAATTTGGCAAGAAAAATATATACCCTTCAGAATTACTGTGAGGATGAAATGAGATAAAATGTAAAGGGTCTAGACATCCCCTTTACACTAACAGTCGTCACAGTTGTCAAAGTATGATATGATTTGTTATACTTAAGATTTCTTAGTTATAATTACATCCCCATTAGCCAAATGATTTTGTTTCATGTTAACTTTTCCTAATTTCATTCTTGAAGGGTAACATTAACTTCATGCTTTAGGGGTTCTTATTGTCAATCTCATCTACTACCTGCAAGAAATAAAAATCTTTGTTTTGTTCAAAAAAAATATATAAAGAGTCTAGGGAAGGGGACACTTTCACAGTTTCTTCCTTATCACCCTTCGTGTCCCCCTGCACTCTATAAGTGGCTAATCTGGTTGGTTAGATTCCAAGACATTGACCAGGCCATTTTTCCCAGCAGTCAGAGTCATGCACTGTGTGCTTGGATCACGCTCATGGGTATGGATCCCTCTAGTCTCTTCTCTCTTTTTCCCTATGGGACTGAGTGACAGTCCAACCCAGGCCTGCTCTCAGGCTTAGAGAGAGGGAACAGCCAGGTTGTAGTTACACTGTAAAGGTGCAGCCTGGTTCAGCCAGTGTCTGTTTTGATTAGGCAGGGTCCTGGCTGTCCTGGTGGTTAAATATTTTTAACCTTACCACTGGAAAAGGCCCTGTAAGCTTCCAGCTCTAGGCGTGTGACCTCAGACCACCTTATCAGAGAGTGCAAGCCTAGCTAAAATTCAAGTGTTACTTGTTTTCCTTTGCTACTGTCTCCTGTGTATATTTTTCCCTCTGGACCTTGAAGAGGGGATGGCTGTGGTCTAAGGTAGGATAATGGTATTCTTACATATTAACCTAATATTATCTAATGGGACTCCAAACCAAACATAACCTTTAACATTATTAATATTAGTAGTGTTTTGGTTATCTTAATTTACCACTCCAAAATTTAGTGGTTTAAAACAACCATCTTGGGGCTGACCCTGTGCATTAGCGGTTAAGTGCGCGCGCTCCGCTGCTGGGGGCCCGGGTTCGGATCCCGGGCGCACACCGACGCACCGCTTCTCCGGCCATGCTGAGGCCGCGTCCCACACATAGCAACTGGAATGATGTGCAGCTATGACATACAAGTATCTACTGGGGCTTTGGGGGGAAAAAAATAAATAAAATTATTAAAAAAATAATAATAAAATAAAACAACCATCTTTTTTTTTTAATTTCTCATGGTTCTGTGGATTGACTGCTTTGTGCTCTGCTGGTCAGTTCTGCTGGTCTCTGTTGGGTCTCTCACATGGCTATAGTCAGACGGCAGCTGGGGCTAGAATCACCAGATGGTTACACTCACGTGTCTGACACTTTGTCAGTGATGTCTGGAAGGCCAGACTCAGCTGGGATGCTGGCAAGGCGAGACCTCTCTTTCTCACCATGTAGTCCCAGGGCCTTTCCCTCTCCACATTGACTTATCAAATGGTGGCTCAAGCCTCCTAAGAGCATAAAAGTGGAAGCTGCCAGACATTCTTAAGGCTTAGGCCTGGGACAGGCACAGTGTTGCTTCTGCCACATTCTATTCCTTAAAACAAGTCATGGGCCAACTCTGATTCAAAGGGAGGGACTACATAAGGGTATAAATGCCAGGAAGTGTGGCTGACTGGAGGCCATCAATGTAACTGACTTCCATAAGAATGTTAGTATAAATTTTATTTGCAGTTTCTAGAATTAGTCAATATACACCGAGATTTACCTCTCTCCCTACTCAGGGTAAGTCTTTTCTACATATGGCACAATCTCCATTAAGTGTTTCCTGAGATCTCGGGGGTCTTAGTGTATAGGGCTACTCATATATCCCAACATATGCAGTCACTATCTTTTGTATGTGGTTTAATGTACAGTCATGCAAATAAAGCCTCTCTTGACCCACCTGCTCAAATTTGACCTCGTAGGGTTATGTGGAGGATTAAATAAAATCATTTATGTTAATTGCCTGGCACTATGTGTCAGTAAGTACTCAATAATGGTAACTGTTATTATCATTTTATTATTACCAGGGTTCCTAAGGTATTGCGCTGCCCTTGGAAAAATGTAATGAGATGACTTGGGGAAGTCAGCGTTCCCCAGGGCACCTGAGTGATTAATGCCCAAGAGAGTGGGTGGAATTGTTAACCTGAGATAATAGGGACAGAACAGTTATCAGCTGCCCACATATAAGATACAAAGAGAATCAACAAGTGCAGTTACAGGAAGTATCAGAAAAACTACAACAAGAAAAAATGGAAGTAGTCAGGTTAGATGAATAGGAGAAAGAATTTAGAGGAGAATTAGAAACAAAAGGAAGAATTATTTATTTCTTAGTCAGCAACAGGCTCCTAACAGGCAATAAGGCCAAGGTAATAGAGAGATTACCTGGAGGGGAGAATGAGATGAGGAGCTGCCAGTTTTCAGCTTGCAAGGAAGACAGAACCAGGTACCAACCAGACTGAGAGACGAATGGGACATACGTTCCCTTTGGAGTAGTATCAACCATCTTTTTTTTTTTTTAAATCATTTATTTATTTATTTTTATTATTTATTTTTTTGCCCCAAAGTCCTAGTAGATAGTTGTATGTCATAGTTGCACATCCTTCTAGTTGCTGTATGTGGGACGCGGCCTCAGCATGGCTGGAGAAGCGATGCGTCAGTGCGTGCCTGGGATCCGAACCCAGGCCGCCAGTAGCGGAGCCCACGCACTTAACTGCTAAGCCACGGGGCCGGCCAAGTATCAACCTTCTGACACAACTAATTATGGATGATCCAGACAGCAGAGGACAAAAGAAAAAACCAGCCCCTGAAAGGTAATAAATCAACTCTACCCAAAGTGAATAACCCGAGCCAATTAAAACAGCTTTGGTCTCATCATGATTACCGTGTTTGAATTTAGCCAGTTTATAGCTCACTATCTAGAAACTTCCTTCTCCCACATCTGTTACTCTAGTTTTCCCCTTAGTTCTCCTAGAAAAAAATGTAGTACAATGTTTGAGAACAAACAGATTAAATAAGATTTAAGTAAGATCATGGGGGTAAAAAGCATTTTGTAAATGTTTAAGCACTCTACAAATGTGAAATGCTATTATTTTTAAGAGAAGCAGACACAAGTGTTGCTCAGAGAGAGGGGTGTTAGAGCTCCAGGGCTGAGGTGAGCAGTTTTAAAGCCGAAGACAGTAGGGACTTGTAAAAACCACAGAGAGGTTCGGGTAGAGACCATTGCTAATTGTTGACCGTGTGAGCTCTCCACCCTGGCTCTGATCCTCACCTCTGTCCCATCTCCCAACAGCTTTGAGAGAGAAGGTGTTTGGTATCATTTACCTTCAACCAAATTTGTGAACT